CAAAGAGCATAATTTAAAAAAACGGTGGCATAATTTGGAAAAAAGAGCATATTGTTAGCATAATTTAGCCAAAAAAAAAGCAATGCTACTAGCATAATATGCCACATTTACTAGCATAATCTATAAATGCCTAGCGGCATATCAGGCCAGTGCTTAACTCCGGTTTCTGTAGCATGAAGCGACTAGGAGTATTTCTACTCCCCCCTGGATGGGGTGCCAGTCCATCGCAGGGTTACCCCCAGCATTAAATTCGCCGGTACCCATTTAAACACCTGGAAGGAGAGAGGCACTGTGAGAGTAAAGTGTCTTGCATAAGAAAACAACACAATGTTCCGGCCGGGGCTCGAACCCAGACCACTCGATCCGGAGTGGAGAGGACCAATGATGAGGCCACCGCGCCTCAACGACTTTTAGTATAACTCAAATAGTTCGTTGAAAACGTTGCAATAATCTTATCACATCGATTTCCAAGACGATTGTGGCCATTTATGGTAGCTTTTTTTTCTGTTCGTGGAAAGTCCTTTACATGCTCCACTAAAGCGAGAGATAATTTTTTAATGGAGATGATAAAGAGAAATCACGATAACTATGCGTGCTAAGAATGAATAAAACATATGTCCAGAAACGTGATATTTTAGATTCTCAACTATTTTTAACGATCAGAGCTATTTTTTAATTTTTTTTTATTTTTATCTAAAAGTAGAATTGGCGGAGTCTTTTACTGATTAAAAAAGCTTCCATTTTCGGTTTTGATGTTCATTGTGGTTTGAGGAGTTTCCGTTTTTAGCATTTGCGTTTCGGTTTTCGACCAACATATTAACGGGTTTTCGAATTTGGAATCCGATCTGATTTTTGTTTTTTTTTTTTCTATTTGGGTTCCGGTTTCTCTTCGATCTGAATAGCAATTATGCGACTCAACTGATCCCGAATAGCTGCGAAACCTCTGTATGCTCCACTTGTTAACATTGTATAAAAATTGATCGGTTTTTCATGCAGTTTTCGGTTTCTTTCGAATTTTTTTTTCGCGGTTTTGCGGTTTTGGATGATTTTTTAATACGGTTTTGCGGTTTCTAATAGCCCCTAATCCCCAACCCCCCCTCCTTTTTGCAAGAAAAATGAATGAATCTGAATCCTTAGCACGCGAAAAGCTTTTTTCTTACCTAGTTTGGAGCTTTGATTTCCTATTCATTATTAGAGATGGACTTTAATGGACGTACTAGATTTACAACGGGAACGCGCACAGTATTTAAACCCTTTATTTCGCTGCCCAAGAATGCTATGAATTATTAAATTGCTGGAGGGTTGCAATAACATCTAATCTGTTGAAATCAAGGGGTAAGTTTCCAAAGAAGCTGTGATGTTGCGTTGTTTCATTTTACCAACTGCCTTGATAACGTTAATTGACAGAAGAAAACACATCTCCTTTTATCACTTACAGTGACATTATGACTGATTTTGTTCCTTTTATTTTCATGCAGAACAATTTGCGAAAGTCAGTAAAGACCAAATGTCGAAAGACAAATAAAAGAGTATTTTTTTTGTGAGAATTTCGAGCAATACAATATCTGGAGAATTTAAAGTGTGACGGGGTAATGTTGATGATCCGGCTTTCAATCTTGAGATGTTGATGATATTTCATGGAGTGAGTATGAATAACACAATTTGGCTGGTTAATTTACCATTCCTATTACTGGCTTGACTCCTGCAGTTTTGTTTTTGGTTTTTATGCTTTGTTACCGTTAAAAGTCTCTGGAACTTGGTTAAAGTGGTTAAATTTTTAAACAGCCAAGAAACAGTTAGAATAAGGTGAAATCATATCTAAAAACACTGTAAGGCTCAAGGGTCAAGTTGAGACTCAACAATGAAAAAAAAATGCAAAACAAACACACAAAAAGATGATACCTCTTTTCACATTTTATTCTTTTTATCATAATATTCAAACGAAGGCTAAAGAGTTTGAAAGCTGACTTTTTGAGGGTTAGCCCTTCGTTAGGTGTGTATAATGTTTAGCTCGTCAAACTGTGCATAGCCAATTATAATATTTCAACATGAATGACTCCCCAAGAGTTTCTTGAGGCAAAACATCCTGGTCCTGAAGTAAACATCTTCTGATTTCGGTTGTTCGAAATATTTGCTATCTCTCTGCGTTAAAAACTGGAATGTAAATGGAAAACGATAAAAAAGAGACGATTAAAAACGATGCCTGGCTGTCAGCGCAAGAAGTTAAGAAATTTGACGCAGAATGGCTAAAGAATCTTACAGAAACGGATAAAAGCTCGTATTTTAGGCAATCTTCGGCACTCGCACTCGGTTAGCAACCATTAAGTTTTGCCCAGGCGTGCTTAAGCTGGTTTTAAGTTAAAAAAAAAAAGGAAAGAGTCGAAATCAAAATTGCTAGTCGTCACCATAGCCAATGATGCGTTAGACATTTATCGTACATACCCCATATTCGTCATTCTTGAGCTGTGCACTATGTATTCTCTTGGAATGTGAGTCTGCTAGGAACACAAGCTCTCGGTCAACTAACGCGATCGCCTTAATGTGTGCTTCGATAGCCTTGTCAATGAAGTTTACTTGGTGTTAGCCATGTCCAAGTGATGCTTATTCTTCCTCTTCCTCTCGAAAAATTTGCTTGCTTCTTTGCGTACTTCTTCCACGGCTGCATTAACTGGCAAGCCAAAGCGTTCTTTCAGAGCGTGTAAGCATCAGTAACTGATGTTAATTTGCTTGAATTAAGGAACAGATCACTTACCAAATATTGTCTGTGAAAAACTCACGGGAAATCTGAACAATTATAGCGTCAAAGACCATAGCTTTCCTATGGAGCCAATCTCAACCAGTAAGATGTCTCACGGATAAGACCGCGAACACAGCAGACTTCCCGCGTCCTGCTGCCATAGTGCGTTACTATTTGCCTGATGCGTGACATGTAGTGAATCGGGTTCGTGACAAAAAAATACACATACCCAGAAAGAACGCATTTCTGACGATCGTTCAGATCGGCCCGATCCGAACTTCCTAACAAGCAAAATCGAAAACCCGGACCCAAAAATGTGATGAAACCGCGAACCGCTGCAGTTTCAGGATCCGCAAATCCGTTAAAATTTCACCATAAATCCGAAATCCGGGGAAAATATATTTCAGAATCCGCCGATCCGTTGCCTTATTCACCTCCCTTCCCTCTTTCCATGCGCTGTCACTGGTCGAGTAATGCTGTGAAAACCCAATATTCAGCTTTAATTAACCGCTCAGCTGCATCACGCAAGTGAACAGTCGTTTTCTTAAGCATTTCCTTCAAGATCAAGTGTGTTTGAATATTGTCTTTTTTGTTAATCAGTTTTTATCGTTAGCTTTCTTTGTCGATCATATATTTTTTGCTTGTTTTTCACACCGTGCATATTTACACAGTCTTCTTGTATATCCGGCGAAGTTAGTTTCTTTTACAAAGAATCACTTGTTTTCAAGTTAGT